AAATTCATGTTTCTTCACAAGAAATAATTTTGCTCTTCGTAAATGGGTTTACGTTTAGGTGTGGGATGTTATACGGACTTCTCTCTTATTAACCCTGACAGCCCCATCTGTGGTTGGAACCCCTCTTAGGAAAGCTTTAAGGAATATGGATATGACATATATATCCATATGATATGAATAGTTTTCTTTTAAAAATGATTTATTAGTTATCTTAAAGTAACAAATAAATATTTCAAGATGTTACTTATCCACATATTTTTAAAAGTTTTTTTTTACTTTTATAATTTCATTTATTGTTACAGAAAGAATTATCTTAAAATTTAGACTAGAGATCCAATTCAATTGCCATTTTAATAAGTTATTTAAAATTAATTTGAGGATCTCATGTGTCTGTAAATATCCCCATGGAGACACAGGGCATGGATCATCATTGTGGGCATTTTCTTACATCGTCCATAATTGAAGTATACCACGAAGACAATATAGAGATAGAGGTTTGGAAAGAAATAATAAAAACTAGAAAGATAGACCAATCAGGAAGAATATATGTACCCCCATGTTCATAGCAACACTATTTACAATAGCTAAGATCTAGAAACAGCCCAAGTGTCCATCAGTAGACGAATGGATAAAAAAGTTCTGGTACATATACACAGTGGAGTACTATGTAGCGGTAAGAAAGAAAGATCTCTTATCCTTTGAGATGACATGGAGGGACCTGGAAAGTATTATCCTAAGTGAAATAAGCCAAGCAGAAAAAGACAAATACCACATGATCTCACTTATATACAGAATATAATGAACATAACAGTCTGAAGAATACAGTAGACCCAGAAACATGGAAGTAGGGCACAGACTGACATCCCTCAGAAGAGGGGGTTGCGGGGTGGGAAGAGGTAAACCACAGAACTTATATGCATGTATGCATGACCAATGGACATGGACAACTAAGCCAGGGACGGGGCAGGGGTGGGTTGGGGAGGGGGGTGTCAATGGGGTAAATAAGGTAAAATATCTGTAAGAAAAAAATAAATAAAAAATTAAAAAAAAAAAAAAACTAGAAAGAAAACCGCATGACAAGTATGACTGTTTCCAAGAAAGGAAGAATTTTGTTTAGATTAAGTGCATTGATATCAACTAGAATTATACAGATTAATTTACCTCCTTTTAGCCTCATTCTTATTTCTATTTGGGATCAAAGTTCACTTTAATCAATGTTAGAGATTTAGAGGCTACCATATTCTTAAGAAATGTTAAAGATATTTAATATTCAGCTTCATTTTAGCACAGCCTTAAATATCAGTGAGACCACACAACATTGGTTTGTATTCTATAACCTCATAATCCAACCATTGTCTTAATAACTTTTAGAGTAGGAATGGAGTGAAAGTAATAAAGGGACGTTAACTGACATATTTTGGAGAAGTCACCTTTTCTAATATAACTAATGCTCTTTCACATTGTTATTTTAAGATTATTTTATATTTAAAGGAGGGGTAATTTGTTCTGAAAATATTTTTGTTTTCTTGGCATTCAAACTTTTTATATTAAAATTTGCTATTTTAGTAAAAATAAAAAATGAACCACAGTATATTTGTATGTGGTGTTTTGCTTTTAATTCCATATTGGGGAATTGTAAGTGTAAAAAGAATAGCAACACCAAGGCGTCCTTTAGGCTCAGCATCAAGGTTTATTTTATTTATTTATTTATTTTTGTATGTGCCCCTAGCAGGAACTGAACCCGGGACTCTCTGGTCCGCAGGCCAACGCTCCAACCGCTGAGCCAAACCGGCCAGGGCTCAAGGTTTATTTTAAAGTGTGTGCTATGTGGGTGAAGTCCCAGGAAGACAAGTACTTTTTTGTGTTCAGTTCCAACTCTGGTTGTTTAGAAATCCAGTCAGTGCTTAAGAGGGAGAAAGTCTGTTAGGTCTACTGCTTAAGTATTGGTACCAACTCAAGTGAGGACTAAGGGATAGTCACAGCTCCTGTGCATCCTGTTTAATTCTGGAGGGTCCTAGTTTCAAATCTTCTATCCCATTTGATTTATCAGAAAATGAGTCTAAAAGACTGATTTAAATGTTATGGTTAGTTAGTTTATATTGTGTGAATAATCACTTTGAAAACAGTTTTTTTTCTGGCTGCCTTTCCTTAAATGTCTGAATTCTTCTTCCTTGAATGCTACTATTGTCCTAAAGAAGAAATGACAAGTAACAAATAATCATATTTCTTTTCATTTTTCCTTCGAATTACATATGAATGAGAACCGGGTGGAAATCACAGTTGTATTTTGTTTGTATATAGGTATTTGTTACTAAAAACACTAGTAAAATTCAAGAGAGATTAACAAATACTTTATGGTGATCAGGAAAGACTGGGGATGTATTGAGTATAAGTTTATAAATGGGTGATGTTATCTTTACTTATTTGTTTTTAAATGATTACTTTTGGTATAGTTATTGAAACATTTATCTCAAGACAAATTATTTGGGTTCAAATCCTAGCCTTTCCATTTACTTGCTGAATGACTATGATTATTATATTTAATCTATCCTTGTTTCTGGTTCCTCATCTGTAAGATAGGGAAAATAATAGTGGCCCACATCATGGGGTTACTGGTAAGAATTATAAAAAATTTAGCAATGACTCCAATGTAATAAGGATAAAGTATATTATTTTTATTAAAATGTACAATATAAATTTCTTTTTAAAAATTTTCTAACATGTTACATCATATAACTTGTATGTTATGAATTCATGCTAGTTTAAAAAATACAGACAAATCCAAGAGAACAACAGTATAAACATGCCAGTGTTCTGGTGGTTCTTTGGACACCTCTAGCAGACAGGTACATTTGGGCTGCACAGTCTGAGTTTCTAATGGGCTTTTCCTCCATTGGGGTGAGTTGTGCCAGGAAACCCAATCTCTCCTCAGCATGCTGCCACAGATTCTTGCAATAACCTTCTCAACTTCTGCACTCTATGTAACATGTGCAGATGTTGGCATAAGTGAAATCTAAAATGTATGAGATCTATATTGCATGTAGAAATGTTTCCATTATTTGCCTACAGTCAATGATTTAATAGTAGAAATACTCAGTAACTGACTTGGAATAATGCTTTATGTAAGGTAATGAATTTCTTGGTTCTGATCAAGAATGTGCACTGTACTTTAATGTGGTTTCTACACGTAAAAAATGCTCTATGTTCTTTCTGAATACCAAATGTGTTCTATATTATTTATGTGTCTATTTTCATTTATTTTAGATGGTCTGTTATTGTTACTTTTAGTTAATAGCAAGAAGTATAAATCAACTATTACAAATTATACATTAATAAAACTTTACCTTTATTTTATTTGTTTCAAAATAATAAAATTTATTACCATCAATAGGGTGTGTCTTGTGTTATTTTAATATTACTAGTAATGTATTTATGTTCATGTACACACACACACCTTCCCCCATGAGACCAACCACACAGAAATTGATGAATGTTTGGGGTGTTGTCTGTACCTTTGCAGAGACCAAAGCCCATATGGGGGGGGGGGGAGCCAGTCATGTAGGCTAAGCATCTAATCTGATATATAAATAGGAAGGTATTTACTTTTAGCTAAAAGATAAAAAACATGTCTCTGTTCAGTATTAAAAAATAAAGCTGTTGATTACTGCATTTGGTGTGCCGAGTTCTGCTGGGGCTAGCCTCCTGTCTGGTGCAGAGCGCAGGCGATGCCATTTTCTGAAATGTCTGTTCAAGGAGAGGCGCTCTCTGATAACAGAAACTTCTTTGGCGTTATAAGCAATACATGCCACAGTACAACTTAAAAGGAATTTTTCTCATTTCAAAAACCAGATTCTGAGGCAAATATAAGGTGGTTGTATACCATTATTGTGGCATTGACTACTTTCTTTTATAGTTATTTGTTTGCTGGTTCTTTTTACCTTTTCAAAACAAAGAGCTGCTCGAAACCCAAATTACATCTCCTTTATCTTTTCGTTTTTACCACCCAGCACTGTGCTCTCAGTTTAGAGGATAAATGAATAATATTTGTACTGAGTTATGGATCATCTATAAAAATCTATTTTTAACATTGTTTTATGTTCTGCAGTAATAATTCTTCTGCCTAAGATGCTTCATTATCTAATTTGATGTTTTCAGAGCAATCCTGGTATAGCTCTGAGTTTACAATTGTTTTCTACATTTATGAAAGTAGAAACGTTTCTTTTATTATTATTTATTCCTATTGCTAAAACTAATATGAAATCTATTTTCTAAAATAATGCATAACATCATTCCCAGAAATTTCTACACCAAGCAAAATCAACACCTATAATATTTAAGGGTATAAAAAAGTGTCTGTCCCATTTTGGGAAAGCAGAATGAGATATTTTACTAACTTTTCCTCATTTCTAGACTAAATTATGCAACTGTCTCTGATTCATGCATGGAACATGCGTACATTCATTCTCACTATGCAACGAACTGTATTAGGTCTCATTGACACCAATTGCATTTTATGAGTCAAACAATATCATATGTATCCTGAATAATAATGCTATTTTTAATAATGGTATTTTTAATTGAGTTTTAGAGAGAGGAAGGGAGAGAGAGAGAAACATCGATTGGTTGCAGCCCGCACACGCCCCAACTGAACCCGCAACCTAGGTAGGTGCCCTGACCAGAAATCAAACCCGAGAATTTTCCAGACCTCAGTATAAAGGACTCAACCAACTGAGCCACACTGGCCAGGGCCATAATGCCATTTTTAAATGACAATATTTACCACTTTTTAAAAAAAAGTGACTAATGAAATTATTTAGTGAAAACTATAAATATCATCATTATAATTTTATATAGTTTATAATGAAAAGGAATATAGCAACACTGATCATATTGTTTAAATGTTCTTTAGATTAATTGCAAGGAGAACATGTTTATATTTCAATGTGTGCTTAATTCATTGGTTAGGATTGATTGATTCATTCTCCCAATTTCCCTTCCAGGCCCTCCAGGCCCTCCAGGAGGTCTGCGAATAGATGACATCAGAGCCACTTCTGTGGCTCTTACTTGGAGCCGTGGTTCAGACAATCACAGTCCTATTTCTAAATATACTATCCAGACCAAGACTATTCTTTCGGATGACTGGAAAGATGCAAAGACCGGTGAGTTTTATTAAATTGTATATATTTTTAAATGAATTTTTTTATTAAAAACAAAAACCTGAATGTTTAAAAAATTTAATCTACTGAGAAATGCTTTTTATTTTTTAACCTTTTTAAGTATCTCAGTGCTTTTTTCTTATTATTTTATTTTTCTTTATTGATTTTAAAGAGAGAGAGAGAGAGTGAAACATCAGTAAAAGAGAACATCGATTGGCCACCTCCCACAAGCCCCTCCACTAGGGATTTGGCCCACAACCTGGACATGTGCCCTGACAATAATCGAACTGGTGACCTCTTGGTGCGTGGGTTGACACTCAACCACTGTACCACACTGTGCAGGTGATCCCAGTGCTTTGATGGTAAAAAAAAAAAAAAAAAAAAAAAAAAGTGCACACAAGGAACTTAAAGCTGTTGGAGAAGAGGAGATGTATGTGTAAATCTATCACAGGAACCAAAACAGGCGTCCTGGTTCTCTTATCATTGGGAAGACTCTCTCTTTCTCTCTTAAATGGAATCTGTAGCTTATTATTTCTGACCCATTTTGTCCAATTATATAGGCACTATAGTTCTACATTTTTAAAAAGCCATATGGATTATAAATATTAATGTAAGCATCCAAATCTTACAACTATAACCCTTTACGTTCTGAGGATGACCTTCCCTGATTTGAATTTTCTCAAAACACATTTCTAAAGAAGTTTTGATATCAACTGTTTTATTTTCTTTTATTAAGAGTTCCTAAAAGTTGATCAGGAAAAAGTAAATACATGTAAGTGGGTGCTTTTCCTTGTCTGTAACTGCGACCACTGCCATTTCTCATGACTGGCCCACAATATCACAGAGCAGTCTATTTTCTCCTGTAACATCAAAGAAGAGGGAGGATCCTTTTGATAAAATAATGTATCTTTTCTTAACATAATGGGATTTATTTGTATTGCTCACTGAGAGGTTTTAATTTGATGTACTTTTCTTTGATGATTTCTCATGTACTTCGATAATTTTTTACTATCATGAAAAATAAACCAAAAATAAACTTGAAACCTATTGCAGGGTTTAGGATATATTTTAATATTAAATGACCCTCCACATAAACTTAGAAAGTTCAAATGAATTAGAAATGGATGAAACACTTTTATTACGTTACTCTTGTGACCATAAGTATTATCTATAAATATACAGCCACGTGACACATAATGATCAATGACAGGCCACATAGATGACAGTGGACAAAAGTATCATTTTAAAAAGGTTGCTTCTTTTATTAATATAGCCACCCCAACTTTATCATGGTTTCTGTTTTTATGTTATATCTTTTCTAATTGTCAACCTATTTGTATTTTTGAATCTAAAGTATGTTTCTCTTGACAGCATATAGTTGCATATTGTTTTTTATCCAGTCTGACAATCTCTGCCTTCTGATTGGATTTTAATCCATTAACATTTAATGCTGTTATTGATATAGTTTGATTTATATCTGTTTTTTAAATGTTTCACTTGGTTTTGTTCCTTTATTCCTTTTTGAACTGCTTTCTTTTGCATTTAATATGTATTTTATAGTGTAATGTTAACTTTTTGTTTGTTTTGTTAATCCTCACCCAAGGATATTTTTCCATTGATTTTTAGAGGGAGAGGGAGGGAGAGAGGGAGGGAGGAAGGGAAGGAGGGAGGGAGAGAAGGGGAGAGAGGGAGAGAGAGAAACATTGATGCAAGAGAGACACATTGCTTGGTTGTCTCCTGCACGATCCCTACCAGGGCGGGGGATGAAACCTGCAACCCTGGTACATGCCCTTGACTGGGGAATTGAACCGAGACCCTTTGGTCTGTGGGCCGATGCTCTAACTGCTGAGTCAAACTGGCCAGGGCTATGGAGTTTAATAATATTCATGATAGATAGATAGATAGATAGATAGATAGATAGATAGATAGATAGATACTTACCGGTTTACCAGATACAACTGACCTTAGCAGAATATAATCACTCTCGTTTATTGTGGTTAATCAGTTCCAGACTCTACCGTGATAAATGAATTTCCACGAAGTAGGATTCTTTATTTATACAGTGGCCCTCGCCACTTCACGCTTCGACTTTCGTGGCTTCACTCTATTGCGGTTTTTTCAAATATAGTATACTATAGTATAGACTTCATATTTTTCTAACTTACATTCAGTGAGATAAAGAAATGTTACTCCTAGATAGCTCTATTTTATTTTACCCCTTCTATGTGCTATATATTATTGTTATACATATTGCATATATATGTTACAAAGTTGATAATCTCTTGCTAAAATTACTGCATTCTATAATTTTAATGTCTTTCAAAGCAGATAGGACAAGAAAGAAAAGCAAATATATATTTATAAAGTTTGTTATATTATTTACCATTATTTACTTTTTATTTACCATTTCTGGTTCTCCTCATTTATTCCTATAAATCAGGTTACTATTTCATGTTATTTTCTTAATCTAATATAGCTTTGTTTCCACCTGCCCCTTTAAGTTATTGACAAATACATTTATATATGCTGTAAGTACAACACAATTTTATTTATTTTCACACAATTAATTTTATTTAACACAATCCACACATACACGTGTGTGTGTGTGTGTGTGTGTGTGTATTTATATGGATGAATAAATACATAGGTAGAAATAGTTTTATACAATGACTTTAAAATCAGGTAAGAGAAGAAAGAAGAATATGTATTTATACTGTATTTTATAATTACATAATACCTTTACCAATGCTCCTTATTCTTGGGATGTTTTTACAAATTGCTCTCTGGGGTCAACTGCTTTCAGCCTGAAGAACTTTTCTATTTCTCCTAAGGTAGGTTTGCTACCAACCAATTCTCTCAATTTTTGTTTATCTGGGTAGGTCTATATTAGACCTTCTCTTTTAAAAGAGAGTTTTATTAGATATAATAGCCTTTGTTGACAGTATTTTTTCCCCACACTTTACTTATTTATTTATTTATTTAGTACATGCCCTTAGCAGGAACCAAACTCGGAACCCTCTGGTCCGCAGGCCGATGCTCCAACTGCTGAGCCAAACCAGCCAGGGCTCTTTCAACACTTTAAATGTCATCCTAGATACCTTTTGTCAGATTGAGGAAGTTCTCTTTTATTCTTAGTTTACTGAAAGTTATTTCTAAGTCCCTTTATATTTACCAATATATCTACTATTTCTGGGTTCTTCATTTCTTTCTGTAGAACAGGATTTTTATATATTATAATTTCCTTAAGTAAAGAACTCTTAACATTTCTGATTTTTCAAATTGCTGGAGTCAAAGACTTTCAGCTTTTGTACATTAAAAAATGTCTTTCATGCCCTGGCTGGTTTGGCTCAGTGGTTAGAGCGTCGACCTGCGGTCCCGAGACACCCGGGTTCGGTTCCCGCTAAGGGCGCGTACCTCGGCTGCAGTTTGTCCCCGGCTCTGGTCAGTCGTGCGGGTGGCAGCCACTCGATGTGTCCCTTCACGTCGATGTTTCTCTCTCTCTGTTCCTCTCTCCTCCTCCTACTCTACCTGAACAAAATATGGAAAAATGTCCTCGGGTGAGGATAAAAAAAAAAAAATGTCTTTCACTTTATATTTATGTGATATTATTTGGATATAAACTCCAGGTAGCTTTTTTATTGGCAGCACTTTAAAAATAGTATGCCTTTGTCCCTTTGCTTGCATTGTTTCTGATGAGAGGGTAACTATTGTTCTTACCTAATATTCCTGAGTTTAGTGTGTCCATTTTCTTTAGCTACTTTCAAGATTTCTCTTTATATTTGCATTTAAGCTTGATGGGAATATATTTATCTTGATGGGTGTTTACTTGGATCTTTTAGTTGCTATCTTCTTTAAACTTTGATTTTTTTAAGTCATTTTCTTTCCAGATATTTCCTCTGCCCTCCTTCCCCCTTGATCTCTATTGACATGGGTGGTAGATTTTGATGTGTTCCACAAATTTTGGACACTGTGTGTATATATATATGTTTGTGTTTCTATTTGGATAATGTCTAATTACTTGTCTTTGTTTTTACATATTCTTTTCTTTACTATGTTCAATCAGCTAAAAATCCCATTAAAATAATTTTGACCATTATGGATAGATGGATATCCATATAGATATTGATGTAATTCATACATAATTTACAAGATTTTCTCTTAGTATTTGGCTCCCTTTAGCATTGTTCACATAGCGTTCAATAAAATTTTCTTATTTCTTTATACACATTGTACACCTTTTCAACATTTTACTTTTACATATTTATAACATTATTCTAAAATCCCTGTTTACCTTTCAATATCTAGGTCATCTTTATGTCTGCCTCTATTGATGTTTTTCCTTTCTTGATAATGGGTCACATTTATTTATTTTCTCACATATCTGATATTTTTATTGATTTCCAAGCATCGTGTGTAAAATAACATTAAAGGTCAAAGTATATATTATTTATGCCCAGGAAAATAGATGTCATTCTTTCAGGAGCTGAGTCAAGCTAATCTTTATTTGAGATGACCCCAGTTTTGCTGTTAAATTTAGATAAATGCAAGCCTTAACCAATTTGAGCGTAGGACCAGAACCTTCCCTTCCAAGTGTCCAGAGGTTTTCTAGCCGTGCCACGAGGCTTTAGCTGGCTCTTCTAACTTGGACCTCAGGAAGGGTTCTTTCAGCTCCCCTGCTTCTGTCCAGACGGCTGCCGTGTAATACTGTCTAAAGCCCAGAGAGCATAGGGGATGGGGGTTCTCAGTTCTCCCACCCCCTTCTCAGACCTCAGCAGACCAAAGAACTTGCTGCTCACAGAGGAGGCAGATCTTTCTCAGCCCTCCCAACACTCACCCAGCCACAGATGGCCACTTACTTATAGTCAGTGCAAAGCCCAGAGTGCTTATAGGGGTCTCGATGTTTTTGCTCCGGTCTTAGGCGTAAGCAGATCTGAGGTGTCTGAGCCTCAGAGGGAGGTTTCTCTTGGCTTTCTTGTCTTGCCCCCCAATTTTTTTAAGAACAA